GATCTGTACCTACGAGAAACTACAAGACTGCGCAACAAGATTGGGACAAAGAAGCCATCTTTAATGAACAAGTAACTTTACTTGGGGAAGAAAGGGGAAAGGAGGGAAAGAAAATGGAGACTTTGACCTAAAAAAACAACCAAAAAAGGGAAAAATAAGGTGAAAAGTGGATATGATGTTAGAAAGCAACAGAAAAGGGGAACACAGAAGAGGGAAATGGAGGTGGAGAGACAAGGGGGTAAAAAGGGCAGAGAGAAGAAGCAAGGGAGGAAGGAAGGGAAGAGAAGCTACAAAGGTATGGAGCAAGATGTAAAGAAACAGGACTTATTTAGAGATAATGGGTAAAAACTTAATTGAAAAAGTGATTCTGCAAAGGTACATAAGATTGTATTGTTATATTTGTATTAGAAATAATGTTAGAAAATTGGAAACAACATATGATTAAAAAGTGGGATAAAATACTCAGTGGAATTCAGTGAAACTTTTGTGAACAAAATAAATGAAATGAAATAAATGAGAGAATTGAACTAGGAAGGAATGGGAACATTTTAATGACACAATGTTTTAAAATATAAGTGAAGTGGGTGGGGGGGAAATAACTATGGAAAGTTTATAAGTGTTCCCATAGAAGTATGATACTTGTTTGAAAAGTAATGTGTAAAATGCTTAAGATTTAAATGAATATTAATATTAACAATAGATTTGAATTGGTATGGATTGTTGTTTTAATTATATTATATACTTATAATTTTTTCTCTTTTTAAAATATAGTGTGTAACTTTAGAATGTACTAAGCAGAATCCAGATGGAAGCTATGTATTATACTAAGTGTTATAAATTTAGGGGAAAGAGATAAAGGCGTCATACTACAATCAGTGATTACAGGAGAAATTTTGTTTAATGAGAAAAGATAATAGACAGCTGGAAACAGGACAGACAAAGAATATAAGTATAATGATCTGAACTGAGATGAAATAAATAAAATAAAATTAAGAAAGTCAAAAGAGGGGAGAAGCTATGTAGAAAATGTAGAATAGTAATAAGATATGGAATGGAACATAAAAATGAGCATGACCTTGAATTTGTGTCTGTACGAAGAGATGTAACCCAGGATTATGCTGCTTTCAAAAAAGATGTTTTACTTGTATTTCTTTTCTTTTTGTGAAAACTCAAATAAAACTTACAAAAAAAAAAGACCTCTCTAGATCTGAATGGTCTGAGGCCTCAGAAGCCAGTCTCCTAGTCACTTGGAGAGCCTCTACAATTCCTTCTTATAGCTTTGGAAATGATGGCTTCCAGATGCACTGGTACAGCCTCAGCCTCATCTTCTGAGTTGGATGCCTCAGCCATAGCTCTAGCCCTTTTAGGAAGTGAAGAGATTCCTCCAAGACTAGAGAATCACCTTCATCCCCTCCATGTTCTCCTAAGGGAGTTGGATTCCCAACAGCAGAGGAATTATCAGGAGACCAGATATGAGGGCGAGAAGCACTAGCAGAAGTAGAAGGCACTGCTTCCAGATGCAAAACGGGGTTGCTCAGAAGGATCTGAGTCCTCAGGGGGAGGTGATCTCCTGCTCCTCCCCCAGCCACATGGTGGCATTTCTCCAACCTTTTTCCAGATGCTTTTTGCCCTTTCTGGGCCTCTGGTTCTTCTCTGGAAGGTACTTTGGGCTCAGAGGCCTTTCTCTTCTGTATGCCCCTGGATCTGCCTCTGGAAGTGGAGGGACTGGGCTCACTTTCTTGCTCCTTATCTGCCATACCCCCTGGAATTATCTAATGCACGAGAAAGAGCCAGAGGGGGAATGGAACCTGTTGGAGGGAGGGATTAGGTGTTAATAACCCATTCACAATCAGTTTAACCATTAAGGCCTTATGCAGAATAAAAAATGGTCTCCTTACCTGGAAAACGGCTAAGCAAACCTAGATAGGCCACGCCCTGCCGGTTACAATAAGTTCTGGAACCTGCAAGCAGGTCTGGAGGTGCCCACGCGATCTCCTCAGTGCTAGAACTGGAAAAGCAGCACTGGCACCATGGTCAATAGCGCCCTCAGCTGGGGGCTATCTTCCGATTTGTCTCCCACCCAGCTGAGACCATGCTGATTGTCCGATCTAGCGGCTACTCTGTGCTGCTGCAGAGCCCTCTGGAGCCAACTGCTCCAAGCCGCTGCTGCAGGCTGCTACGCTTGGCACTTTTCAGCCAAGGCAATCAAAGGCAACTCAGAATAGGGGAAAATGAAACCGCAAGCATGGTCCTGGCTCCGTGCGCTGGGTTGGGTGCCCTGAACATGATCCCCAAGCCCTGGGGGCTAAATAAACCCCACTCACTTGGATGCTGCTCTTTTCAAGCCTCTGAAGCCCTTTTAAAACTTTTTTTCCTTTTCTTCCAGGCTCCACGTGTTCTGAAAGTGTAGCCCTGCAACACGTCTGTCCAGGGTAGACTGAGTCAAAAACTGGGGAGTGGCCACAGGATAGGGTGGAGCTTGAATTTTGGAGCAGACTCAGTCCAACAGGCATGAGCTGATATTACCCAACCTATCTGGACTCACGTAACCAGATAGGAAAATACCAGTCTCTGAGGAAAAAGAGACTTCATACCGGTAGTAAAGGGACAATTAATAGAAAAACAAAATCCCAAATTCAACACAAACTTAGAAAATGTGATTGCAGATGGTAATTTTGTGCAAAACTTTCACTAAGGTAGCACAGTTCAATGATACTCCATTCTTTAAGAACTATTCAAATTTTAGTCCTAAATTTGTTTTTAAGGAACCTAAAACCACCTGCTCACAAATAAACCTTGATCATTTGCAAACTGACTTGGTTCTTTTGCTTTCGAGTTCATTTATTTCTTACTGGTAAACCAGACCTCTTCCTGGATCCTACTGGGAAGCCCAGCCAATTCCTCTCCAACAATAGGTAAAATTATGTTTTTATCAGAGGGCAGTTTGTTTTCCTGCTTCCTGAGTAAAAGTAACAAAGCTTGCAAGAGGTAAAAGTTAGCAGTGAAGGGATTATCTACTCAGAGCCTAATTTATTTCTCCTATTTTTATTAATTGTTCACCTTTGCACTATTTTTATCTGCAAGACCTTATCAATAACCTCTTGGGGGAAAATGAGTAGTGTATGTGTGCAACCATTTTGGAAATAATTCCATTGGGGACAGTACAGCAAAGTATAGAGAAGTGGTATTGAGGGTGCAGGGAAGAATGACCAAAGCCCATGTCAGAAATGGCCTCTCTCCAGTTCAGTTTAAATTTGGCAAGACAAACAAGGAAAGAATAAGGTGAAAGGAAAGAAACCAATCCCCTGAAATTATGTCTTGGAGAGTGTTGTTGAGTTGGAGCTAAAGTAGTGTCAAGAACTATGCCCATGTACCATTCTCAAACAGCCAGGCCTGTCACCTCCTCTCCAGCTCATTTGCATTGCCAATCTTCCTCTCTGCTCCCTTCTCATATTCCATTCACCTTTGTGCAAGAAGCAAACATCTCAATCTGGGAAGTGTGAAGCCAACATTCAAATCTCATTGCCGGGTGAGCAGAGCCAAGAAAAAACACATTCAAGTCAGAGGTGGTATTCAACCAGTTTGGGCGAACTGGCAGTGGTGATTTGGCATGGGTCGTCCGGTTGCCCAATTGCTCATTTGCCCCAGTCGCTCTCCTAGCTTTCCCTACCACGTGGCAGCCGTGGCACAGCTTGGGTGGATGTCCCAGGGCTGCTGCACATGCGCACTGCATATGCTACACATGGAGTACGCATGTGCAGCAGCCCCGGAACATCTGCCCACCTTCCCGGAGCATGTTTTCTTCCTTCTCCCAGAAGATGCACCTCTTCCAGCCTGGCCCAGCCCGGCCCAGCCGGCCAGTTGGGGGAGGATTTCTGCCTGAAAGAGGCAGCTGGAGACTGAAAAAGAGTTGCCTCCAGCAGTCGCCCCTTTGGCCAGCTGGTCTCCTCGGCCATACAAAACAAACAGGCAGAGAAAGAGACCAGCCAGCCAATCCGGGGAGGATTTCTGCACTGTGAAAGAGGTGGCTACTGATCTCCTGCTTCGCTCTGCTTCTCCAACAGTCCGGCGTCGCCCTGTTCTATGCGCCAGCTGCTTGGACTTGCCGGGCTCAGCACATAGAACAGGGCATACTGGTCTGCAGCCACACTGAAAAAAGCATGCAGCAGCTGCAGGAATCTTGTGACAAGGGGGGCGAGAAGCCCCGGGACATGTGGTCACCTGCTGTCTGGCCGGGTTGGGCTGGAAGGTGTGTGTCCGCCAGGAGAACAAAGCGTGCTCCGGGAGGGCGGGCGCTGGGCAGGCGGGCGGATGTCCCGGGACCATTTAAAGGTTGACTTTAAGAGCGCCCCCATGGAAGAAGCCAAGAACTGAGAGCAAACATAGTAGCGGTGGGGGTGACGGGCATGTGAACCTCCATAAGGTGTGTGAAGGGAGGCAGACACGGCGCCTCTGAGGAAGAGGTGCCAAAGCCCTGGCTGTTACCCGGGAGGGGACCGCGGAGGGATCCATCACACGCCCGTTGCCCCCGCTACTTTTGCTCTCAGACGGCCACAGCAGTGCCTGCAGCAGCAACAGGCAGAGCCACAACAAGGTACAGTAAGATTTGGCGGTGCAAATCTATCTCTGAGGGGCTTCTGCAAAAAAACAACAACAAAAACCACCCCAAAACAAAACCCATTTGGCAGGCAGACTCAGCAGTCATGATCTTTAGTTGTGGTTTGTTTTTTATCAGTCCAAGGGCGGGGGAGGGGGGGAAGGTACGGAGGAAATCACTGTCTCTGCAACATCGGTCATGTGACTGAGTGGGTGTGGCCAACTCATCACTTGCAGCAAGGTGCCGCACCATCTTGCCAAGTTGGCCACGACCACCCAGTCACATGACCAAGCCACACCCACCAAACAAGCCATGCCCACAAAACCGGTAGTAAAAAAATTTGAATCCCACCACTGGTTCAAGTTACCGCATGTTCCTAATTCTCTTGACACCATGGAACTACAGTATTTTATCCACAAATACTTTTTTATTGGATGATGTTAGTAGATTCTAGTTAGTAGGTTCAATGGCCCACCAGTTTATGTGGCAGGAAAGCCACACGCTACACTTTAATCTTCCTCTTCATCATCTCCACCACCAGCACCGCCCTGGCCCTTCTTGGCGTTCTTCCTCTTGACACGGCCTGGCCGGCCACCACCATAAGGTGAACAGAGCGAGAAGTCAATGTGCTTTTGGGAGTCTAGCCGAACAATGAAGGAAGGGATGTTCACCACTTGCTTCCTTACACTAAAAGGGAGGAAGGAATGATTAGTGAATAATCTTGTCTAGAACTCATGGGAAATATTTGACAAAACAAACAAGCTCTACAAATATTTCCTGAGCTCACAGCCTACCCTCAACATTCAGAAGTCAAAGTCCCAATGGCTGCTGGCTTCAGGGTTATTTGCAGAGTGACTGCAAGAGACTTCTGGATCCATCTGGAATCTAATTTCACTCAGGGATCCTTTGTGCTCTGTGAGCTTGGTTGTTTTCTTGCAGATATCTCATTACCCAAACTAGGTAACATCACAAGGACCCCTCATTTCATCCCTCAGCTCCAAATATTCTCTATTGGAAGTTTCACTCTTTAAAGGAGCAATTGTTAGTAACAATGAATTATAGAGCAATCAAAATGGTGTTATCACTGACTGGACAGTAACCTATTCAGGCAAGAAACCCACTTAATGACCAAATTTTATGCTTTGTAGTTTTAATCAGGTTTTATCCCCCAACCCCCAGCCTTCCCCGCTCCAAATCATTTAAAATTGCCTTGGCAATGCAAGGAAGGTATGTATTCAGTGCTGGAAAAGAAGTACCAGTTGCAATTTTATCATGGCCTTTATCTCCCCATAAATATACCATAAATATTCAATACACTAGAATCTTATACCAATTTACAAAACAGACATGGAACTACATTTCAGAAGTAGCCAACACACCAGGATATCATGGAAGAAACTGATTTATATGTGAAAGTTGCTGTTTCTGCCTTTATTAGGTAAAACTTACCTAATTCCAGCTGGTGGTAAAATACATGCTTCAGGAAATGGGAAAATTTTAAGTCCACCCAGTAAGTCAAAACTACAACTCTTGGCAACGTTTTTTGCTGGGGTTGCTTACTGGAAATTTCAGCAACTTAAGACAGTATAATTTCCTCCAACCCGTTGCAAAATCCATCATTTACTTGTACAGAAGGATCCTATCAGGTTACTGCTATGCTTGCTAAGTAGGAGTAGTACTGTGTTACCTTGGCCACCCAAGGTGTATGGCCAAGCCAGAGTGAACCTTGCTGAATTCTTTGAGAGTTATTTTGACACTGCTAGTTTACTGAGCTATCCAAGGTTTTGATCCACAAAAGGATTTGGTTGCATATAAAGGCCCAAGCCAGCGCCGGGGCCAGTTATCACCACACAGGCTACACATAAAAGACATTGCAAATGTTACTTCAGAGGCACATGTTCTGATGCTGACACCCAATGTCAGCAGTTATCTTAAACTTCACATTCCCCAAACTTTGGCTCTTAGCAGCATACCGGATGTGTCTCTGGCGGATAAGTACACGAGCATGATGGATGGACTTAGCCAGGCCCAGTTTAAAGACCTGGGTTTGGAGACGACGCTCCAGGAAATCCTCAATTTTCAGACCCAGGATGTAATCCAGTTTCATTTTGCCTTCATCCAGCACCCCAATTCTGACCAAACGGCGCAGCAAAGCATTGCCTGAGAGAAATTTGAGACACATCAGTACACTGAACGGGTCTTTCTATATAATGTTAAAAGAGGCAATGTTCAGATTAGCATATTTATGGTTGAAAAAGATACAACCATCAGTTAACTGGCTATGCAAAGAAATACAAATTAAGCAATCCCAGGATATAGAAATGGTATTGGGACAAGAACAGTGTCGGGGAGATTGTGGAAAGTATTAAAGTATGTGTTTCCAACTGAACAGAGACCTTGAGATTATAAATCACACTCAAGAACACAAAGGTTCAATCCAACTGTTGTGTCAATTCTCAACCACCTTGACTCAAAAAACTGATACTACGGAATCCCTACCCATTTATTTAAGAAAGAGCCCAGTATCTTAGCAAGCTCTTACACAAGGCAAGTAATGTTTTCATTACTAACCCCTTTCTCATTATTCAGGCTGGCACAGTACTTGGCTTGGCCACAGTAGCCTATCTGTTTCTGGCTGGCATTTTCTTACCTTGGTATTGTGGTTAGCCGGCAGCAGGTACGGACGGCTGAGGAGAGCGAGGACTCAGATGATGGGCCAGGACCATTAGGGAGTGGACTGCTGCCTTCAGAGATTGTGGGGGCTAGCAGCAGTGATAAGGTTGTTCCCGAGGAGCCTGTGGCAAGTGTGGGTGCGCGCAGGATTGCTCAGAGGAAAGAGCAGTTACAACAGCACAGGCGACTCAGGAGTAAGGCTGCAAGGTACTGGCCCCTCCTTCAAGAAGATAAAAGCCAGCTATGAACAAACGTACTTTGCAGAAGGCAAAGACATTTTGAACTCAGCCTCGTGGACATTACAGTTGGTATTTGAAGACTCTTGTATTGTAAACTATTACTGATTGGCTCAATTAATCCCTTTTTGGTATTTCCATCACACATTAACTCTCCTTCCCTGACACCATTTAACATGATGTGGAAACCAGGCCATTGTATAACCTTATTAGCAGGGTACCTGTGCTTCGCTACGAAACTATGTGATTGGGCAAGTTTTGGGGGAGGAAAATAAGGGGAAAAATTGTGCGTCTGCCTACCAGCATCCATCGGTATTCATCTGGCTAGCATCCTGTCAGTTTGTGAGAGAGTTCAGGGCCGTTTGGAAACTGAAACAGTATTTGTTGTGTGAGCAAGAAGGAGACAGCATGGAGCCTGGTCATGGCTTAGCTGAACTGCAAGTGGAAGAGATTTCTTTTCAGGTGGGGAGGGGGAGTAGAACTCCTTAGCATCAGAGCGTGCTAATAATATAGGAAATACTACTGCTCTGATGGTCATTTTGAAAAATCCTTTCTTAGTGAGCACCTAGAAGCCAAGAAGAACATGCGTGCCAAATTTCAAGTTTGTAGGCTTTATGGTTCTGGAGATTGTGATGACGCATGAGTGTTTTCACTTTTATATATATAGATAACACACACCACCTATCTTATAATCAGATTAGTGACTTACAAAGCTGGTATGAGGAACAAAAGTTAAATATATCAAGGTACTCAGCAGGCTTCAAGTGAGTCATAGGTATCCAAAACAACAGCACCAAAGTTGTTCAGTATCTAGTTTTGCCATGATATTACCTTCAAAAAGGCGCCGCTGATCTTTCTCATCCAGGGTCAGCAGCTCTCGGGCAGCTTTGCGGATCTTGGCCAAAGTGAACTTGACTCGCCATACCTCACGCTTGTTCCGCAGCCCATATTCACCTAATGAAAGAATTCTAAACTTTAAATGCAGTTACTTTGTCACATCTGTTCAATCACGGACAGACCCTTGATTAGGCAAGGTTGTTGCTATAGGGAAAATTACTGAACACTTCAACAAGAGAATAATCAGGGAAGCCACTGAAATAGAGGAACACCCCCACAACATGAATAAACAGGATGATACCTTCCACCTACCAGACATCTGGAAACTAACCCTTATCAACAAACGAGTCCCAGCCACGAAAACCAACACCGGACCCAAAACAACACATGATGCCACCACCAATCTCCCTCACCAGACTCAAACCCAAACCCATCCCATTCTCAAAAAACCCATTCTCCTTCTGGACAGAATTCAATCTGAATCTCAATCTGAATATCACTCCTTCCAATTTATTCCATCAAAATGAGATCTTTTTCCATTTTAATTTTTCAATTGGAGAATTCATTTCCCAACAAGAGTATTTTCTCAAACGTGGCATTTTGGAAGATGACAGAAAACACAAAACAGTCTTGGGACTTATTTCATAGAATCATATGGCTGGAAGGGACCCTTGGAGGTCTTCTACTTCAACCCCTTGCTCAAAGCATGAATCCTTATACCACCCTGGACAAATGATTGTCCAACTTTTCTTGAAAACCTCCAGCAATAGAACACCCACAACTCCAGGAGTCAAGTATTTGTTTTCACTTGACAGCACCTGTTAATTTATAGTTCTTAATAGTTTTGTTATCCATTCATTTAACATATCGTTTTACTTCACATGGCGCAATCTGTCTAGAATCAAAAGATCAATGAATAAATCTTACCAATAAGTTTCAACTCCTGATCAAGGCGTGATTTTTCAAAAGGCCGCCTGGGGGTGACGTAAGTCTTCCGACATACCCAACTCCTGGCAACAGGCATTCTGTACTAAAGAGACAGCGGCCAAGCCTATGGACAAATACAACATTTTAAACAAATGCAAGCCGTGTAACAATGAAATCACTGGAGATATTACTATTGACATACCACTCAAATTTGTGGCAGAGTCAACTGATAAAAGAGCTTGTTCCAAGTGGTAGTCTCATCCAATATCAATTAACACTACCAAATTATACCATTGGCGGAGAGGCAGCCTTTAAGCTGCTGAAGCTGTGACAGCTCCGGAAGGAAGAGACAGAAAGAGAAAGTGTATGGGCTGGTGAGAATTTTCTTTCTTTTTTATTCAGGACTTAAGTACACTCTAAAATGAGAAGAATCCTGTAAGACTTTGGACAAAAACTGATAAAACTGACCTAGCGGCGATTTTTTAAAGAGAATGTCAAACTGAGGCTTGGCTTTTTACTTTTACTTTTGTTTTCACTGAACTTCTATTGCGATCTAGTAACTGTAACTAGACTGTTTTTTTCTCTTATATTTATCTAATTTTCTTTTCTTTTTTTCTCCCTTTTGACTGTTAAAATAGTTTTTTTTTTAGAACAGAGGCTCCCTTTAGTAATTTTTTTTTCTTTCTTAAATATATATATATATATATATATATATATATGTATATTTCCTTTTTTTATTAGGCTTTTTTTGGGAAAGAAGGGGGAGTGGATTAAAGAAACTTTGTAACACTGCCAACTAGAGGCTTGAAAATACTTTATTGGAAGTTGAGAGGACTGTGAAAAAAATCCTTTTTCAAGGACACTGGAACTTGATAAGATAGAGGGAAGTGCACTGGAGAATGTTTTAACAGGTGTTCTTTGGAACTTCTATTATTAATTGAGTACTTGAAGCTTGGCTTTGGAATTTGTGGAGAAGCCATAGTAAGAGCCTTGGATAACTAAATAAGATGCAGTGTGCTCTCTTTTTTACTTTCTTTTAGCTGTTCCATCCCTCCTCTTCAATCCCACAGTATTTTGTAATATTTGTATATCTATTTTTTTTTCTTGGTTGACTTTATTATTATTTTTCCCCTTAAAGGGAAAGCCTCAGAATACTTTTCTTTTTTCTTTTTTCTTATTGGGATTTTTGCCTTTTCTATTTTCATCTTTTATTTACTTCTATGGTTATTTTTTTTTTAATTTTCTGAGACCTCATAATTGGATTAAGGTGTGAAGAACCTGAAGAATTCTTTTTCTTTTTCTTCTTCTTCTTCTTCTTCTTTTTCTATCATTGCTTTTTAATATTATTGGGTTTTACTCTCTTTTTCTTTTTTTTATTATTCTTAATTTTTATTTTTGAATTATAATTGACTATCTCACAATAGGATTAAGGTTTAGAAGAACCTGAAGAATTTCCTCCTTTTTCTTTTTAATCTTCTTCTCCTTCTCTTTTTAATTCTGGACTTTTTATTTTTAATTGGCTTTTTTATGTTTTTCTTCTTCCCAATTGGATTATAATTGGCTACCTTATTAATTGGATTAAAGGAGCCTAAAGATTCTGAGTTACTCAAATGAGTAAGAAAACTTTACCTCCTGGCAGTTCAACTTCTGCTCCTGCTTCTCCATCAACTGGAGGGCGACTATCAATAATGGCGAAGCAAGATAAAGTACAAATGGACCTAGCGACGATTATACAAGGAATACAAGAACTCAAAATGAGTATTGCGAAGACTGACATTAAAATTGAAAATTTTCAACAAATGATGGCGAAACATGAGGAGAGACTCCCAAAAATTGAAGAGAAAGACAAACAAAGAGATGAGACAATTGGAAATATTGTTAGCAAATTAACAATGGTTGAACAAGATATAACTGGGATGTTGAAGTGGGAGATGGATAGGTCAGAATTTTACCTCAGATTTCAAAATATAGAGGAAGAAAAAGGACAATATTTGGCGGCTGTAATGATAGAAATTTTGGCTGGAGCTTTGGAGATAACAGAGGAAAAGATGATGGATGGAGTAGATGAGATATACCGTGTCTTCACAAGATATGCGATGAGGAACAAGCTACCAAGAGAGGTCCATGTCAGATTTACTAAAAAGACTATTAAAACACAAATACTACAAGTGGCAAGAGATAAGGTGTTGAAATACAAAAACAAAGAGATTGTGGTTCTAAAACAAGTGCCCAGAAGAGTGAGAGAGATGAGAATATCGATTGTTGACCAAAAAGTTATTGGAAAAAGAGGTGAATTATAGATGGTTGATTCCAGAAGGATTAATGTTCATATGGCAAGAACAGAGACACAGAATCGACTCAATTGAGAAAGCAGAAACATTCTACAATGAATTTTTTGGAAGAAGAGAAATAGAGACAGAAAAAGAGACTATCCCAACTGAACCCCAAGAAGACCAAATGGGAATGGGAAAAGAAGAAGGTGCGGTAGGTGGACAAATGGAGACAAAAGAACAACGTGAAGTAAGATCTACAAGAACTGTTAGACCTAAATATAAAACATAACCATGGAGGAAAAAAAATTGATTTCTATGAATATAAATGGATTGAACTCAGCTATTAAAAGAAGAAAAATCTTTCATAAATTAGAGAAGCTAAAATTTGATATAATTTGCCTACAAGAAGTGCATATTAAAAAACATCGACGATTATTGGTACGACCAAAACTGGGGAAAATTTTTACCTCCTTGACTAACTGTAAGAAAAGAGGAGTGGTCCTGTACATTAAAGAAACTATTGCAGCAAAATTGATTTATACTGATGAAGATGGAAGAGTATTAATGGTTGAAATAGCGGATAACAATACAAAAACACTCCTGGTTGCAATTTATGCTCCGAACGATAAGCAAGAAGAATTTTATAAAGTTACATATGAAAACAATTGGACTGGACTATATTAATATAGTTATGATGGGAGATTTCAATGGAATTGTGGATAATAAATTGGACTATACAGCGACAGCATCAAAACAAAATAGAAAGACTCTCCCTAAATCCTTTTTCAAAATGATAGATGAGTTATATTTAAAAGATATATGGAGAGAAAGAAATGGTAAAACCCAACAATATACTTTTTATTCAAATAGACATTTATCATGGTCCAGAATAGATATGATTTGGACTTCATCAGAATTAATATCTAATATTCAAGAAATAAATATTGAAACGGGTATATGGGCAGACCATAATGCAATGACAATTAAATGGAAAGGACAAAAAAGAAGATCTAGATGGACATTAAACAATACTATTTTAAAGGAAAAAGATTTTACACAATGGATGGGCAAAGAATTGGCTTTCTTTCTCAGTGAAAATAAAAAAGAAGATACTTCAATGCAGAATGTTTGGGATACAATGAAGGCATATGCGAGAGGATTAATAATGGACTATTCAAAGAAAAAGAATATTAGGAAGAGGCAAATTATTAAAGCTTTAGAAGATGCTTATAAAAGATTGGAAAAAGAACTGCAGAATATGCCACAGAAAAAAGATATTAAATTCAAAATGGATATAATTAAACATAAGATGGGCCAGGCAGAGAAAGAAGAACTGGCACAAAAAATTAGAAGTGTTAAACAGAACTATTTTGAAGATGCAAACAAACCAGGTAGATGGCTAGCATACAAATTGAGAAAGGAGAAAGAATCTAGGAAAATATTACAGTTAATAGATGATCAAAGCCAAGTGTGTTATGGTAATAAGGAGAAAAAGATAATTATTCAAGATTTTTATGGACAATTATATAAAAAGAAGGATTTTGATGAGGAAAGAATTAAATTTTATCTACAAAATGCTAACCTACCTAAGATATCTGAAGAGACTGAAAAAATGTTAGAAAGTACTATAACAATGATGGAATTAACTGAAGTATTCAATAGGCAGAATAACGGAAAAGCACCAGGCCCAGATGGGCTCCCGGCAGAATTTTATAAAACATTACAAGAATCATTGAGCACTCCACTATTAGAAGTCATGAATGAAGTCATGTTAAATAAGAAAATACCTAAAACATGGTCAGAAGCTTATATTACACTTATTCCAAAAGAAGGGGCTGATCCATTACAAATTAAGAACTATAGACCTATTTCTTTACTGAATGCAGACTATAAAATTTTTGCCTCAATCTTGGCAGAAAGGCTCAAAAGATACTTAAATAACTTTATTAATCCTGATCAGAATGGATTCCTGCCAGAGAGACAAATTAGGGATAATATGAGGATAATTCGGGATACTTTGGAATATTACGAGGCGCATCCTGAAAAACAAATGGCTTTTGATATTTTTAGATGCCCAAAAGGCATTTGATAATGTGAACTGGAGATTCATGTTTTTGTTATTGGAACACATGGGCTTTGCTAGAAAATGTATTCAAGCAATAGAAGCCATATATGATAAGCAAACGGCAAAAGTAATGATAGAGGGAGAATTTACAGACTCTATTAATATAAGAAAAGGCACAAGACAAGGATGCCCATTATCACCTTTGTTATTTGCATTGACTTTGGAAGTGCTGAATAGAAATATTAGAGAGGATCCAAATATAAAAGGAATGAAAATTAAGAAGGAGGAATTTAAACTGCAAGCTTTTGCGGATGATTTGGTTTTTATTTTGGAAGATCCTCTAGAAACAGCTTTAAAACTATTGGAAAAGATAGAGATGTATGGTGAGATGGCGGGTCTGAAAATAAACAAAGATAAAACAAAGATCTTGACAAAGAATATGTTACCAAAACAAAGAGATGAACTGGCAGACTTACTGAAAATTCAAGTTACGAATAAGGTTAAATATTTGGGGATACATTTGACGTCAAGATGTACTACATTGAAAGAGAATAACTATATTAAACTTAAACAACAGATAACATCTGATTTGAAGAAATGGGAAAACTTACAATTGTCACTGATAGGTAGAATTTCAACAATCAAGATGAATATTTTACCCAGAATTTTATATTTGTTTCAAACTATACCAATTAGACTTGGTAAAGATTATTTTGAAGAATTAAATAAAATTGTGTTGAAGTTTATATGGCAAGGTAAGAAAGCCAGAATAAAATTAAAACTTCTACAAGATGCTAGAATTAGAGGAGGATT